CCGGAATTGTCGGTTTAGTCGTTTTAACCTGTCAGATTAAAACAAGAAAACCGACAATTCTGAAGCAGAAGCGGATGATTAAAACGCACTTATTAAAAATATTGCGCCAAGATGTAGGCAACACGTAATAAGGGTTCAAAATGGCGGAATTTTCTATCTCCTTTTAAAAGGCACTCAGAAAGCTGCGCAGTGCGACCATTCTCCGTATAGTAAAAGAAAATCAAAGTATGTGGTCTAACCCACATACTTTGATTACTATACGGTGCGAGAGAGAGGTCCGACACGCCCAACATAGGGCGCGGCCATTTTGATTCCTATGCCACAGTTTATAGCTAAAGAATCAGATCGTTCACTCTGCGTCGGCACTTTTGATCTCAATGTTCCAGTTTATACACTGCGCAACTCGGATAATGCAATATATGACAACCGCCTATAATAAAACATCAGTCTTCTGCGTATCCTGAATTTGTATCCCTGGAGTGGATGTTATTTTGGAACTTTCAACTGGTCCGAGTGAGCTAACTGATTCTTTAGCAATAAACTGTGACTCCAAAAATAATATTCACTGACACTGACAGCAGCAAGCAAAATATCGGGTGCGTTTTAATCATCCGCTTCTGCTTCCGGAATTGTTGGTTTAGTCGTTTTAACCTGTCAGATTAAAACAAGAAAACCGACAATTCCGAAGCAGAAGCGGATGATTAAAACGCAAAGTATGTGGTCTAACCACATACTTTGATTTTCTTTTACTATACGGAGAATGGTCGCACTGCGCAGCTTTCTGAGTGCCTTTTAAAAGGAGATAGAAAACTCCTCCATTTTGAACCCTTATTACGTGTTGCCTACATCTTGGCGCAATATTTTTAATAGGTGCGTTTTAATCATACGCTTCTGCTTCAGAATTGTCGGTTTTATTGTTTTAATCTGACAGGTTAAAACGACTAAACCAACAATTCCGGAAGCAGAAGCGGATGATTAAAACGCACCTGATATTTTGCTTGCTGCTGTCAGTGTCAGTGAATATTATTTTTGGAGTCACAGTTTATTGCTAAAGAATCAGTTAGCTCACTCGGGCCAGTTGAAAGTTCCAAAATAACATCCACTCCAGGGATACAAATCCAGGATACGCAGAAGACTGCTGTTTTATTATAGGCGGTTGTCATATATTGTATTATTCGAGTTGCGCAGTGTATAAACTGGAACACTGATATCAAAAGTGCCGACGCAGAGTGAGCGATCTGATTCTTTAGCTATAAACTGTGTCATAGGGTTCAAAATGGCAGCGCCCTATGTTGGGCGTGTCGGACCTCGCTCTTGCCCCGTATAGTAATCAAAGTATGTGGGTCTAACCCACATACTTTGATTACAAATCAAAGTATGTGGTCTAACCTAACGCCATTTTCTATCCGTGCCATTTTCTTATCCTGAGTTGGCTAATCTACCGTGGTAGCGTTCTAACCTAACCTGTCATTTGTGAAATACCTCAGGATGGAGGATGCCCAGACCAAAACGTCGTGAACTTCTTGAACAAATGTATTTAAGATATCTTTAAAACGTGTCTGTGCTATGTGTCATTCTTTATTATGTAAAAATACATTTTTGTAATACATGTAGATCATTATGTTTTATTTTGCGGAATTAAAAAAAAACTCTCATTTTATTATGTAAACGATTTCATTTAGTTTATTTCAATATATTTTTTTCTTGTGTCTTATTTATTTTTACTTGTTTATTGTAAATTTGACGCTTTGAACTTGCTTTATACCTAAAAAGATCAATGAAGTACTAATACCATAATACAAGTTCGTTTTTTTTATTTCCAACATGTTTCGCCTTTGGTCAAATATCGTTGGTGTCAAAATGACACAAGATTTTCAGCGACGTTATGAGTCCTCTCTTTATTACCTAGTTTAAGATGTTAACCTAGGAAATTGGCTAGCCTAACCTAACATGTCAAAAAGTCATCTAACCCACATAAGTGTGTGCATCTAACCTGAGAATTGATAGCTCAGCATAGGAATCACGACACTCGATTTGGGATACTCGATCTCGATTAATCGACTGAAATGTTTAAAATTTATTCATGACATTCGAATAATCGTCTCGATTCGACCGCAATTACTCGAGAGTAGCGCAAATTTGAGGTTAAGTTTAGGAAACAAAAACAAAAATGCTTCCTTTTGTTCACCAAGTTTTATTAGAAAGACAACGTCGACGAGAAAATTTGGCCTTAACAAGAGAAAGACGTTCGTTACGACGGAACAGCGATCCTTTTCTTCTTGTGGATAGACGTTTTATTAAATTATTTCGACTCAATAAAGTCTTAGATCACGAATTAATAGACACTTTACGACCTCATCTACACCAAAGACAGGATTTTAGGGGCATATCAATTGATAATATGGTTCTATGTGCCTTAAGGTTTTATGCTACTGGTTCATATCAAAGATGTGTTGGTCAAGAGTATATTTTTGGAATGGCTCAGAGTACTGTACACAAATATGTTCATATTTTCACCAATTTGATGACAGATCACGTAGTAGTCACTAAAATAAAATGTCCAACTGCAAATAAACAAGATATTATTAAATTAGTTTTTAAATAGATGGAGATTTACTGGTACAGTTGGTGCTATAGACGGAACTCATATTGCGATATTAAAACCTCCTGTTGATGAACATTATTTTATAAACAGGAAGGGTTTTCATTCTATTAACTTTTAAATTATATACAGTCACAGGACACATAACACAACCACAGAACATAACGTAACTGACACAGAACATTACATTTGTCTTGGTAGTAGTTCAAATGACTCCCAAAAACCGACAATAAACGAAAATCAACTCGATCGAGTTTCATGAATCCTATTTCGAATTGCGGTCGAGTCGAACGTCGAATTGTACGATTAAATCGAATCGATTGTTGTGATCCCAGCCCTGAAGTCGTGATGACAGATATAGGTCCGGAGCCATTTTCTATCCACGCCATTTTTTATCTATTTTATCCTTTATCCTACCCAGAGATTCCTACCGTATGTAGTAAAGTTGATCTAACCTTACATGTTAGATCTAGCCTTACATGTTAGATCTAACCTAACTCCTTCCTCTGAAGACATGAAGAACAGGGGGATGGGAAGGCGGAGAAGTGTAGACGAAAAAGATGGCGGCCACCGTTTGCGTGAACAATGGCCGTTGAAGAGAGCTAATATCTCAAAACGACCTAAGTCGTTGCTATTGGGCAGATTTAAACGGGGGAAAACGGCATTATATAGAGAATTCAAAAACAGTAAATAAAAAAATCGTGTAGAGCGTCAAAGTCAAAAGGGCTTAAGTCTGTAACTCGGCTGTTATAGGTCAGATTCAAACAGAAAAAACGGCATTATGTAGAGAATTCGAGAACTTTGAAGAGAAAAATACTGCGCAGTAGTCGTAAGAATCTAAGTCTATATCTCGGCTGGTATTAGTACAATTCAAACTGGAAAAACATGTAGAGAACTCAATAACGTTGAAGAGAGAAATCTTGTGCAGTGGGATTGATTGAAGTATTGTCACAGTCTCAAGATGGTTTGCGTTTTATAACTGCTATTCGATATTTAACACTTAGAGCATGCTCTAAGATTTAACATGTAAGTAAAACAAGTTATTTATTGAATACCGATGGACTTAATGACACATGTCATATTTTTAGGTCAAAAAATCACAAAATATAAAGAAATGCTAAATTTACAACATACGAGGGTGACTATTGCTTTCTAATTAAGAAATACCTTCGATGTCTAAGAAATATCTAGTGAATGGTACCTTTTTATTGGATTTAATGACATGTCATATTTTTTAGGTTAAAAAGTTGCAAAATGTAAAAAAATGCTAAATGTACAACAAACGAGGATGACTATCGATAATTGATTTCTAATTAAGAAATACCCTTGATATATAATTATCTTGATGAGAATACCTACTAAGTGAGATTATTGAATAGTAATGTTTTTAATTATTGAAAAGTCACGAATGACAGATGTCATATTTTTAGGTTCAAAAGACGGAAAATGTATAGAAATGCAAAACTATGTACCTACGAATACCAAAACTAAACAATTAAATGTGAATAATTAAAGAAAACGTGAGTGCAAAAGTTTTTAATAGTGACGGATGACAGATGGTATAGTTTTAGGTTCAAAAAGACGGAAAATGTATACAAATGCAAAAATATGTAGAAATACCTAAACTAAACAATACAATGTGAATAATTAAGGAAAAAGTGAGTGCAAAAGTAACGAATGATGGATACCATATTTTTTAAATTAAAAAGAAGATTTAATAGACATACGAACACCTATAGAGATATAAATTAGTGATGACGACAATAAATGGCTGGATAGTTATATTTTTTCGGTTGAAAGTCTGGAAAGAAGATGTCTAGTATGAATATTGGTTAAAATTGAATTTAAAGTAATAATCACATGAGAAACTGAATCTGTGAAGATAATTCGAGTACAATCCTAGTTAGTATATGGTATACCATCTCAAGATTTGTAATTGTTAATTGCTGTTGTATTTATTTTTTAAAAAAGATAATTGTTATTATTCAACGACGATGACGTACGATAATGAACGAAGAGTATGACAATGACGAACGATCACGTATGACAATGAACGAAGAGTATTTTGTTACCTTGTTATTAATATACAACGACTCTGACTAAAGATAATGTACGACAACAAACGAAGAGTATTTATTTTTTAATATTCTATTATTATTCTTCAACGACTGTGACTAACGATGATGTACGACAATAAACGAAGAGTATTTTTGTTACCTTGTCATTAATATCGGCAATGTCGATACGACAATGAACGAACGACGCTACCTATCACTTAGCTTATTCTCAATACGAAACCATGACCTTTTAGGCTTCCCCTTCCTATCACATTGACAGCTGTAATGCATTGGCATTATTGACAATACTCCCCTCGATGTTATGATAATTATCTGATTATCTATTTGATTATGTAATTATCTATTTGATTATTTATTTGATTATCTATTTGATTATCTATTTGATTATCTATTTGATTATCTATTTGATTATCTATTTGATTATCTATTTGATTATCTATTTGATTATCTATTTGATTATCTATTTGATTATCTATTTGATTATCTATTTGATTATCTATTTGATTATCTATTTGATTATCTATTTGATTATCTATTTGATTATCTATTTGATTATCTATTTGATTATCTATTTGATTATCTATTTGATTATCTATTTGATTATCTATTTGATTATCTATTTGATTATCTATTTGATTATCTATTTGATTATCTATTTGATTATCTATTTGATTATCTATTTGATTATCTATTTGATTATCTATTTGATTATCTATTTGATTATCTATTTGATTATCTATTTGATTATCTATTTGATTATCTATTTGATTATCTATTTGATTATCTATTTGATTATCTATTTGATTATCTATTTGATTATCTATTTGATTATCTATTTGATTATCTATTTGATTATCTATTTGATTATCTATTTGATTATCTATTTGATTATCTATTTGATTATCTATTTGATTATCTATTTGATTATCTATTTGATTATCTATTTGATTATCTATTTGATTATCTATTTGATTATCTATTTGATTATCTATTTGATTATCTATTTGATTATCTATTTGATTATCTATTTGATTATCTATTTGATTATCTATTTGATTATCTATTTGATTATCTATTTGATTATCTATTTGATTATCTATTTGATTATCTATTTGATTATCTATTTGATTATCTATTTGATTATCTATTTGATTATCTATTTGATTATCTATTTGATTATCTATTTGATTATCTATTTGATTATCTATTTGATTATCTATTTGATTATCTATTTGATTATCTATTTGATTATCTATTTGATTATCTATTTGATTATCTATTTGATTATCTATTTGATTATCTATTTGATTATCTATTTGATTATCTATTTGATTATCTATTTGATTATCTATTTGATTATCTATTTGATTATCTATTTGATTATCTATTTGATTATCTATTTGATTATCTATTTGATTATCTATTTGATTATCTATTTGATTATCTATTTGATTATCTATTTGATTATCTATTTGATTATCTATTTGATTATCTATTTGATTATCTATTTGATTATCTATTTGATTATCTATTTGATTATCTATTTGATTATCTATTTGATTATCTATTTGATTATCTATTTGATTATCTATTTGATTATCTATTTGATTATCTATTTGATTATCTATTTGATTATCTATTTGATTATCTATTTGATTATCTATTTGATTATCTATTTGATTATCTATTTGATTATCTATTTGATTATCTATTTGATTATCTATTTGATTATCTATTTGATTATCTATTTGATTATCTATTTGATTATCTATTTGATTATCTATTTGATTATCTATTTGATTATCTATTTGATTATCTATTTGATTATCTATTTGATTATCTATTTGATTATCTATTTGATTATCTATTTGATTATCTATTTGATTATCTATTTGATTATCTATTTGATTATCTATTTGATTATCTATTTGATTATCTATTTGATTATCTATTTGATTATCTATTTGATTATCTATTTGATTATCTATTTGATTATCTATTTGATTATCTATTTGATTATCTATTTGATTATCTATTTGATTATCTATTTGATTATCTATTTGATTATCTATTTGATTATCTATTTGATTATCTATTTGATTATCTATTTGATTATCTATTTGATTATCTATTTGATTATCTATTTGATTATCTATTTGATTATCTATTTGATTATCTATTTGATTATCTATTTGATTATCTATTTGATTATCTATTTGATTATCTATTTGATTATCTATTTGATTATCTATTTGATTATCTATTTGATTATCTATTTGATTATCTATTTGATTATCTATTTGATTATCTATTTGATTATCTATTTGATTATCTATTTGATTATCTATTTGATTATCTATTTGATTATCTATTTGATTATCTATTTGATTATCTATTTGATTATCTATTTGATTATCTATTTGATTATCTATTTGATTATCTATTTGATTATCTATTTGATTATCTATTTGATTATCTATTTGATTATCTATTTGATTATCTATTTGATTATCTATTTGATTATCTATTTGATTATATATTTGATTATCTATTTGATTATCTATTTGATTATCTATTTTATTATCTATTTGATTATCTATTTGATTATCTATTTAATTATCTATTTGATTATCTATTTGATTATCTATTTGATTATCTATTTGATTATCTATTTGATTATCTATTTGATTATCTATTTGATTATCTATTTAATTATCTATTTGATTATCTATTTGATTATCTATTTGATTATCTATTTGATTATCTATTTGATTATCTATTTGATTATCTATTTGATTATCTATTTGATTATCTATTTGATTATCCATTTGATTATCTATTTGATTATCTATTTGATTATCTATTTGATTATCTATTTCATTATCTATTTGATTATCTATTTGATTATCTATTTGATTATCTATTTGATTATCTATTTGATTATCTATTTGATTATCTATTTGATTATCTATTTGATTATCTATTTGATTATCTATTTGATTATCTATTTGATTATCTATTTGATTATCTATTTGATTATTTATCTGATTATCTATTTGATTATCTATTTGATTATCTATTTGATTATCTATTTGATTATCTATTTGATTATCTATTTGATTATCTATTTGATTATCTATTTGATTATCTATTTGATTATCTATTTGATTATCTATTTGATTATCTATTTGATTATCTATTTGATTATCTATTTGATTATCTATTTGATTATCTATTTGATTATCTATTTGATTATCTATTTGATTATCTATTTGATTATCTATTTGATTATCTATTTGATTATCTATTTGATTATCTATTTGATTATCTATTTGATTATCTATTTGATTATCTATTTGATTATCTATTTGATTATCTATTTGATTATCTATTTGATTATCTATTTGATTATCTATTTGATTATCTATTTGATTATCTATTTGATTATCTATTTGATTATCTATTTGATTATCTATTTGATTATCTATTTGATTATCTATTTGATTATCTATTTGATTATCTATTTGATTATCTATATCTATTTGATTATCTATTTGATTATCTATTTGATTATCTATTTGATTATCTATTTGATTATCTATTTGATTATCTATTTGATTATCTATTTGATTATCTATTTGATTATCTATTTGATTATCTATTTGATTATCTATTTGATTATATATTTGATTATCTATTTGATTATCTATTTGATTATCTATTTGATTATCTATTTGATTATCTATTTGATTATCTATTTAATTATGTATTTAATTATCTATTTGATTATCTATTTGATTATCTATTTGATTATCTATTTGATTATCTATTTGATTATCTATTTGATTATCTATTTGATTATCTATTTGATTATCTATTTGATTATCTATTTGATTATCTATTTGATTATCTATTTGATTATCTATTTGATTATCTATTTGATTATCTATTTGATTACCTATTTGATTACCTATTTGATTACCTATTTATTTGAATTGATTAATTAAAAACATAGATTTTTAGTTTGTAACGTCAACTGGTTATATCATTTTTTGTACGGACTTTTATATATAGGTAACTCCAGAATTTGTTGTTACACCCTGTATATTGTCAAAATTTTCTCACTTCCACAATTTATCGCATCAAGTACCATCGGCCTTCGGTTAAAACCTTTCTATTCATTCGTTATAGGTAAACTCAACCTACCTATATACACATGACTTAATAACATAATATTAATAAATAAAATAAATAATTTGTTATGCAGAAGAGATCTCAGCCTTAGAGTTGTTAGTCATAAGGCGTTATTTAACGGCATCTTAATTGAAATTATGAAGAGTGACATATTATAAATCTACCCGTGGCATTCATTGTTTCGTTCTCTCGGAAGATCACCCATGATGCTTATTTACCGATTTGATAAACGACTTAACGTGTTTTGAAGACGGTCGTTAAATTTGTTTATTGTATTTAGCATTTATTGTTTAGACACAATCCCGTAATTGATCTCACAGGTTAATTGTTGGCACTATGTTACGCGTATGTAGGAAAGGCATTTTACATATTTTTTTTTAACGCCGTGTCCCAGCCAGCAAGCACAAGCTGATATTTCTAAAAGAATGGATAGCCCTTGGTTTTCCACTAAACGGGCAGTTGAGTTTATGTTTTGTTTGTATTTCCGGGACTTGAGAAACAAAAACAAAACTGGGACAAACCCAAAATTCTTGTTTCCTTCAAGCTTACTACATTTTGTGCCAGTTTTGTTTTTTTTTTCGGATCTTTTCCACAGGTTTTCGCAAGGAAGTAAGCACACATTTTTTCAATAGTTTATTTATATTTATATATTTATTTTTCAAGATAGGTCCAAACTTAAAATAAATAGTACATAGTACAAATACAAAGTAGTTTAAAAGATGTATGTGACATAATAAAATCCTAAAAGGGACAATATTTGGACTTAACCTAGTCTGTCTCTGATACATATACAGTACTTAATATTTTGTATTAGACATAGCCGTGCTTTCAGAACCAACATGGGTTAACTACGATATCCAATGAACAAACAATAAAAACTATCGCTATGCTCTCTGGCTAATGTCTAACATTCGGATCGGCTAATATATCACCACCATAACTTCTAACTCTAGTCGACGACTTGACTGTTAATATGATATTAACTAAAATATTAGTCATATGCTTAACACAAAAAAATTAATAGGTACTATACAGGGATTTCATTTCAAAACTAGCCACACAAAATAACTTTTAAAATATCTTTAAAACAAAAAAACAAAAAACACGTTAAATTATATTTACGGGGGGACACATTTTACAAGTATCTGTAACCGTGCAGTTTCATCCCCTAAGCGGTGGTGAATAAGATGTTCAAAATGTCCGCCATTGTTGGCAAGGCAATGGTAAAGTCGCAACTCGAATTCATCCCGCACTTTTTGAAGCGTCTCTGGTGTAATCCGCTCACACTCCTCCACTATTCTACGTCTAAGTTCAGGAATATTGCGAGGTTGAGTTTTATACACCACAGTTTTTAGATGTCCCCATAAAAAAAAGTCAAGGGGCGTTAGGTCGGGTGATCTCGCTGGCCATTCTATAGCGCCCCTTCTTCCGATCCATTTATCTGGAAATGTCTCATTAACCAAACTTCGCACAGGCAAGGACTAATGTGGAGGTGCTCCGTCCTGTTGAAAAAATAGATTTTCTTCGTCTAGTAACAAATTTCCATCTTGATATATTTGGTTTTCTAAGGATTCGGTTATAAAAGGATTTATCATATTTTCTAATAAGTTCAAATACAATTCCTCAGTTAAATTTTCCTCCATGAAAATAGGACCAATAATTTTATTACCAAACATTCCGGCCCATACGTTGATTTTCTGAGGATATTGGCTGTGCTCTTCCCGAAAAACATGTGGATTTGTACTGTCCCAGTACCTACAATTATGTTTATTGACAAATCCATTTAAAAAGAAACCTGCCTCGTCAGTAAAACAAATATTTTTAATAAAATTATGGTCTTCATTTGCCCTTTGAGTCATTAATTCGCAAAATTCTAATCTTCTGTCATAATCAGCCTCAGCAAGCTGTTGTAAAAGCTGTATTTTGTAAGGAAAGAATTTATTTAGCCGTAACGTTTTATGCACAGAGCCAACGGAAATATTTGTTAATTTGGAGACTTTTGGTATTGATGTTTGAGGTTCTATGGCAAAATGACCTAAAATCTCAACTTCTGCCGCTTCAGTTAAAACTCTACGATTCCTTACAGTTTTATTGCACACACTTCTAGTTTCTTGAAATTTATGAACTAAATCCAACACATACTGATGCCCAACATTTTTATCGGGATGTCTCTGATTAAAAACACGAGCAGTTCTGCGTGCACAGCGTTGTTCTTCACCAGAAATAAAGATTATTTCAATTCTTTCTTGTAAAGAATAAACCATTGTCAAAATTAAATTGTCAGTACACAACGAAACCAATAATCTACTAATAATAAATTATTTTAATTTACGGTCAAAAATATCTTATGCAAAAAACATTTAAGGCTTTTTGCTAATTAGTTTATCTCGGTATTTATACTCATGCATTTTAATTCAATATTTTTTTCTGGTTTCTAGGTTATAACTTGGTGAAAAATGAATCCGATTTAAAAAAATAATGTGTCAAAAGATTGGAAAAAAAGAGACCTTTAAGAAGAGCTATCACATGATACCCCTTTCTATTTAAAATTTTAGAAGTGATATTCACCACCGCTTAGGGGATGAAACTGCACGGTTACAGATACTTGTAAAATGTGTGCCCTCGTAAATATAAATTAACATGTTTTTTTGTTTTTTTGTTTTAAAGATATTTTAAAAGTTATTTTGGGTGGCTAGTTTTGAAATGAAATCCCTGTATAATATATTCTACTAATAAATATATCTAGCGTTTTAAAATAAATTACTTTTCCATAAAAAAATACGTTTTTTACTTACCTATAGGAACAAAATTTATACTACAAAACACGACCGTTCCCAGTAAACAAACTCGAGTTTCAAAACACGTCGAAACCTATTGATTTTGCCGCTTACGAGCAATACGTGAGAAACAAAACTGCAATTGTCGCAAAAAACACAAAAAAATATAAAAAAACACAAAGGAAAACACAAAAAATACAAAAAGAAAAACAGAAAAAACAACAAAAAAAAAATACAAAAACAAAAAACACAAAAAACAAAAAACACAAAAAACAAAAAACACAAAAAACAAAAAAATACAAAAAACAAAAAAATACAAAAAACAAAAAAAAAACACAAAAAATACAAAAACAAAAAATACAAAAACAAAAAATACAAAAACACAAAAATACAAAAATACAAAAATACAAAAATACAAAAATACAAAAATACAAAAATACAAAAATACAAAAATACAAAAATACAAAAATACAAAAATACAAAAACACAAAAACACAAAAACACAAAAACACAAAAACACAAAAACACAAAAAACAAAAAACCAAAAAAATAAAAAAAAAGCAAAAAACAAAAAAGGGAAAAAACAAAAAAGGGAAAAAACAAGAAATACAAAACAAACAAAAAAAAAACAAAAAACAAAAAATCCAAAAAAACAAAAAAGACAATAAACAAAAAAAAACAAAGAAAAAGAAAAAAAATAAACACAAAAAAACAAAAAAAAAACAAACAAAAAAAACAAAAAACAAAAAAAAAACACAAAAAACAAAACAAAAAATTGGCCTCGGTCAACCAAAAAAAAAGGACCCAGTGGTTAAATTACAATTATTTAAATTTAAAATTGTAACAAAAAACATAATACAAACAAATATCTCTAATATACCCAACCGTGTCCTCATCAAAGTCTTAAAATAGATTTAAATAAGGGTAGCCCATTATTACGTTCGACAAAACCGGGCGGCACAAGCAAAATTCTTAAGTTCACCACGCCTTTTAACTGCCGGCCCTTTCAAATCACAGATTTTGCTTGAGCCGCCTGTATAACTCCCTTAAAATTTTGATTACATTATGTCGATTGCGATTCTACTGTAGAAAATTAATTGTTATAAATAAATTATTCGATAGTTATCGAGATCATATACCACCTACCCATCCTTGTTTTGTACTGTTAATTATATAATTTTTCTAAAATATTTTACATTTTACCGTATTTTTTGCGATCTATTCTCCTAATCCTTGGAACCGTAAAATATGACTTGTTAGTCATAAAACCGCGCATCCTTCTATCATATTGAGTTTTATTTTTTAAATAATCCACAATTTTTAGTCGACAAAAACCACGTAACCCTGATTTAACATCACCGTCCAACAAAAAAAAATCCATCACAGAGTTAAATACGAATTAATACCCGTCACGGGTATTGCATGGAAGGCCGAGATGAAAAAAACTTATACAGGCGCTTGAATGAGCGCTGTCGGTGACAGATCCGTAATTAAAATTCTCAGTTTAAAACTAATCACCGAACACTCTGGCAGACAATGCTCGTTTCGGACTAGATTGTTCTTAAATATAATAAAATTTAATTAAAGACACGCGTTAAAACTAATGCGAATCCGTCTCGTTGACGGCGAAACAGGACAGGAATAGACTAAAACTTTATAGTTTCGAAGTACTTCCTCGAACTTCCTTGACTAACTGGACGTCATATACGAATAATTTGAAGACGACTTCCTGTTTCTATTTATAAGGATATTAGATTTAAAATATCTGAAACGTACAATACATTCTCATCTAATCTTTTACTAATTTGTTATAAGTTGTTTTTACTTTACTTCCGCTGCTGGTTATAAATTAGAATTATAATAATTATATAGAGCAAAAAAATATACTATTTGATCGAGCTCTAACTCTAAAGTAAATATAAAACCCACATCTTGAATACTGCTTACCTATTTGTGAAGTTGCAACACACTCTATTCTTGATGCATCACTCCAAAACGTCATGTCAGTGATTGATCTATAGCTCCGAGCACTTACTACTAGAGGGAGTCTTCCCCCCTTCCCCGCGCTAAATTTTGTTAGCAACATCTACTCCCCCCGAGGGGGAAAATACCTCATTTGTAATTGGCTTATTTAATCAGCGTTGCCAAGTTTGACAGCGCCAGTTCTGACACTTTCTGACACATGTCAAGTTCTTATTTGTATTTTACGGAAAATATTATTATTTATAACGTTGTAAGGGTTGTAAATGTATACTTAAGATATATTATTAGAGATAATAAATGCTTTAAGTGTTAAAGGCTTGTTGAAAATGCTTCTTCAAAATAACATAAGTAAGTACAGACACAACCTAATTATCAAAGGCGGTGCATTAGGCAATCACCTTTAATTTGCAATTAAACTTTCTTATTTTCTTATCGAAAAATTAAAATTAAGAGCACGTAAACTCCAGCTTAGTTCGTCTTCATCCGTCTCATAATGATTATAGTAAAGGTTAATTACTTATTATTATTATTATTTTAATATTACATCTTTGTAAAGTTTATTGTTATGGTTTTTAGGTTTCCTTTTTTTGATATGAGAAAAAAATACATGATTTCAAAATATAGGAATTCAACAAGTGACCACCTGAATTGCTTTTTATGCTAATGAACATTTTTTATTGCAGACCTCAAAGGAGGAAAATATAGAAGAAAAATGCAATTTCGACGAGAAGTATAATAATCAATCCTGTCACTACTTCTACACTATATTCATCTGCTACTAAAATACTAAAACAGCAAGTAGAGAAACTTAAGTTTCTTTCAAAAAGAATGTTTAAGGAAAAAGGCATAGCCATTTTTTTGTTGACGCTTTTTTTAACTAAGCTAAAAGACTAATTTTGTGTATTGTTTAAATTTTCATTTTTTTGTACTTAATTTGTACTTAAATGAACTTCTAAGATATGCATGGAATATCCCAAAAGAGCTAAGGAAGGTTTTAAAATTCTTAAGAAAACTATTCAGAGCCAAAAACATAAAATAGTCTTCCTGTCCAAAATATAAATAGGTATAAATATTTAGATATGAGTGATTTTTTATTCTATAAATAGAAATAATTTGCTTCTAAATCACTACCTAATGAACTATATTATATAGTACAAAACTAAACAAGAATATCACATTATTCATGTTTTTTTTTTAATTTCCTTAAAAAGCGTCCCAAAAAAATGTGAATATTTATTATTGGAGTTTACATCGTTATGCTAAAAAAATACTAGAACAACTTAAATAATGTGGATTTTGACTATTTTGAGTTATGTAGATCATGATGATCTAAAAAATGTTTTTCTGGTGCTATAGTCAGGTATAAAAACATTCATTTATTTAAACACAGTTGCAATATACATTTTATTTAGTATTTATGTTAAAACCTATTAGGACATCCTAAAATGACTTTTTTCGTTTAATATGAGATTAACTATTCTACATTTTTGTTGGTGAATTAGGATATATTAAGATGTCTTACTGTTTTCTCTGATTATCTAAAAAGTTACAACAGTATACAAAGACAGTTATAACAAAAAAGAGATATACCTTTACTTAAACACACAATTAGTCAGTTCAATTGTACGATAATTTAAAGGAGACATCCAGAAAACTTTAAAAATGTGTTTAAATGTGTTTTTACTATAACAAGGACATACTTATTAAAAAAACTTGGCACATTAACGTTGACGATAGGTTTTTATAATATATATTATACAAATCACAACGAACTACACAAAATGACATTATTAATAATTTAGCAATAAAGAAGTTAATTACAATGATGACATTAAAAGTTGAGTTTCTCGAAATACTTTTTTTAAATTGTCTCAGTACCTACCTAGTATTTTTCTAGCACAATGATATTATATGAATGTGCATTGTGTGATATCTTATATTTTAGGAATAAAAAGATATATTTTTTTGCAGGTTTCTGTTAACAACGATTCCAAGAACTTTTGAAAATATTATTAAAACGGCCTTTGCAAATATAATTCTCAATTAAGAGCTTTTGATCTAACATAAAATTTTTATTCTCCATAAGGTTACAGCTTCCTAAGAAGAAAGTTTAACAAGACTTACCAGACCCAAAATATCAAAATTTTACCAACCAATTGATGGTTCTACTGGTTTCCATAAGAAAATTCTCCTCGAAACTACTTAAACAAAAGTGGCAGAGGCAACCGAAGAAGGCAAAAAAGTCTTTTGCAAAACAAAAACTAGAAATTTGTTTAAGAATCTAATTATTGTTTGACATTTTACCATTAATAATTTTTGATAACGATTTAAGATTGTAAAGTTCTATTATGCATTTTACTCTTTAATAACCTATGTTTAAATTTTTATTAGGACCAAAATAAATTATAATTTTCATTTCAACTACAAAAACCCTCATAATATTAAAAAGGGGAAAAACGTTAGATTGGTTATGTTCAGGAATAAACTCTTTAAACATTTATCTACTTAAAATGTGTTACTTTCTATTTGTACTTGTATTAATTTATTTCATTTTATTATCTGTTGTATTTTCAAATTGATTTGATATTAATCTTATCTATTTATATATTTTTTATATTTACATATATGTTTTTTTCATTAAAACAAACGTTTATTAGCTTATTAAATATAGTGAATTCATAGTGTTTTATTATATGCTTGCATGAATGATTACTTTTATTTCCTTTTAAAAATGAATTTCGAAGATAAAGCCGAAACGGTGAGTGAGAATAAAAAATTAGACGAAAGTGACGATATTTACTGGAGAATTCTTCTACACGCTCCTTTTTCTAGCCATCTACACCTGAGCCAGCAAGATTCGTTTTCCCTCCATTCTTCAGATTTACAGAGAAAACGCCGTCCTCTTTAACATATCCAGACCTTCTTTGACGGGGACTATACCACTACATTATCAGCTTTATTTGTTATCCCGATCAATTTAAATGTATTCGTAATTGCTCATTCTCGCCCCTTCTCTTGTAGATTACGTACTCAGTTTTCTTATTTTTAGTTACGTTTGCACTGCTCTTTTATTTTTACAGCTTTAATTCTATAATGCTGTAACGCTACAATATGGATCCATTTTTGTGGTTTATACTATTTAATGTTATTCGTAAGTGACCAACCTATTATAATAATTAAAGATTATTGTATTACAGGCCTGAAGATGTTCCTGTAAGGCCAAAACTAGTCGCTCCTGTATTTATTTATAATAAAATTGATTTTAAGGTTTCATTCTTCAATTGAAAAAATTAGACCTTTACAGTGATTTTGTTTCATTTCCTGCATTAGACACATATAAGACGGTATTCATTTTAAAAATAGTAAAATTAGCAAATTTTTTAGTTTTTTTACAATTAAAAGGTATCCTAGTTGGATATGATGGTGTAGATGGGTATCGAATCTGGTCTAAAGAAAATAACAAACTTATATAAGATCTCGTGATGTAACATTTCAAGAAGAATCTCTATCAAACAGACAAGATTTTCAGTTAGAAATAAATAAAGAACGTGAAGAAGAAAGAACATATATTGTCATTATTTTGTACATTGAATGTCAGCAACCTTTTAAAATAAAGAAGTATTCGTCTTTTTGGTGTAGCTTTAACAGAAAGATGTTACAGTCCTGTTGCAAAATCGTCTTCTTCTAACTGATCACAAGTCTGGCATGCAATTTTTAGTGAACACTGGTGCTGACGTTTCTGTTGTTCCCAAACCAAAGTCAATAAAATTCAAACTCACTGATTTTATTTTATATGCCGAAAATGGTTCTGTCATTAGCACATACGGCCATAAATTATTGTGTTAGATTTATTACTTCGCATATCTCTCAAATGGCAATTCGTGATTGCAGATGTTTCTCGTCCAATTATTGGTGCATATTTCTTGAAAGTCCATAGTCTCTTGGTCGATCTGCAGTGTCATAAATGTGTATAGAAACCGCTGGAATTATTTTCATAGAATTTAAGTGATACGAAAAGAAAATATAGTATTTACGACAAAGAACTCCTTGAAATTTACGAATCTGTAAAATAATTTAGATACATGATTAAAAGACGATGTCTAATCATTAAGACTGACCACAAACCAATAACATTTGCTTTTAGACAAAAATTAGATAAAACTTCTC